TATCAAATATTTGTTGAAAAGTCATTAGTGTACTTTTTGAATAAATTATCGTATAAAATAAGGTATGCAGGTACACAATATGAGTGCTGTTGCGATGGACATGGAACATGACATTGTCAAAATCTTTTTTCCACATACAAACTCTAAATAAGCTTCTCAATTTGTCTGCGAGCGTTTGGCAAACGCCTACAGAAGAAGACAAAAAAAAGAAATATTAATAAATGGTCCGGAATTTGTTTTTGTCATCGCTCTGATGGATCTAACGGTTGAGTGCGCTCAAATTATTCGAATGATACACAAAAATATTGTTGCATGGCAGCGCACCAAACAGAGAGCAGCCATTGTTTGATATCAATAGATAAAAGTAAACCGAATGTAATCTTTTCATTTGAATCGTCGCCAAATGTCTGTGTGCACCTTTTCTCATGTGTTGTCAAAGTAGATCGCTTCAATATGACAATTATGATTCGGCAGAAACGGCATTGTAATGCCGGAATGTTGTACAATGGTAAAAAAGCACATAGAAAGAGAGAGAGAGAGAGAGAGAGAGAGAGAGAGAGAGAGAGAGAGAGAGAGGGAGATACAGAGGCTGGTGGGAGTAAGCAATCATGAAATAATATACGCATTCGACAGTGAATTCATTCATTTGATAGGAATTACTTAATGAAAATCATTCAGTGAAAAATGCACACGTATTTTTATTTAATTTTTTGTTGTTGTTGCTCGTCAATGGCACCCTCCAAGTGTGTAAACGTATTAAAGCAACGGGTCCTCTGTTTTTGCGCACGTCTATCTAAATCGTGCTAATTTTCGTGAAAGATAAGACGAAGCGACAACGAGCAGGAAATTGAGCGGAGTGTTGAAAACAGGAAATAGGCTCTCGCCTATCGAATAGCATAATCTGCTTCGACAATGGCAAATACTTGTTCATTGTGTCAAGCACATGTCATGTGGTGCTGCGACGGAACAGCGTCGCACCAAATTGGAATGCTAGACACCGAAATCGGAGAGAAATGGTAAAAAGAAACGAAATTCATACGAGAATCAAATTGAAATTAAGCACACAACACACCGAATACCGAATGTGTGCAAACAAATTATGCCAGAGAAAGATGTTAAACGAGAGAAACAATTCATTCGTTCAAACAAACAATCCAACCAGAAATAAAATGACAAACATTTCAAATGTTTTTGAGTGCGCATTCAATGATGGGCACGCACATGCACACATACAAACACAAAAGAAGAGACGAATAATAACGGCGAAATTACAATTCACGACAAATTCACCGAATTTATCTCATTCACACGAATTAACAACATTTTCAAAGTAAACCTAAAGCGCACCATGGTTCATTGTAATTAACTGCACATTTGCAAATAAATCCGGGGATAAGATTAAACGTAATATTCTTGAATTAAACGGAATGTGCTCAAAATTGTCTCGATATACTTGAAATATCATTATTTTTCATAATATTTTTCAATTACTTGATTATCATTTATTAAAGTAAAGTTTGGAGAAGATTATAGTAGAAAACTCTTCAATACATTGGCCAAAAACGAAAATCTCCTCAAAATTTATTTAAAAAAAAAAAACCAACAAAAATTGACCAAGCACTTGTATAGAATATCAACGATTACAGAAAATTCAATTCCGTTATTTTTAAAATCGTTTGAAATATTTCCGTTTACCATGAGCAGCTCACCGAATTCCAGATTGAATTCTCTCTACCCACGCTCAGCACATTGGAACGTGTACTGTGTACTCGTTGAACATTAAAATGAAGATTCTGTAGCTATAAGAAATGAGGAAAACCAATGTAATTCGGTTCGTATAATCAAATTCATTTAGAAAGTAAATGGAAGGTAATTTGTTGATATCATGAAATTCACAGCAGCAGCATCAGCAGCATCAGCACCGGCACTGGCACTGTTCGGCATTCTTCTAGCCAAATTGATCGGCACAGACGGATTCGTGATAGGGAGGAAAAAAAATGTTGTTTGATTTCGTACTGTCATTCCAAGCTCGCACAATGTGTGAGACAGACATTTAACACCGAAATATGCAGGGATGACAATATAAAATAGATAGAGCGACACACACACTGGGCAATAGAAATACAGCTGTTGATGCTGATCTATCACGAAGCATTCAACTTTTTTTTTCTTTTATATATGATGTGTATATTCATGGCAGAAGATTCAATGTATTCAAGGCAAGAATTCGCATTTAGTTGTGCGATGCGAAGCATGCCATCAGGAATAAGAATTTCCATAAATGCTCTGGATGACTTGAATTTTTGTGTTGGTTTTGATAAGATTTATATTGTGCTTATCGTCTCGTATTGGTGGCCAACATGGACGATGCGATGCGACGCAAAATCAGAGAGCGAGAGAATAAGTCAGAGTTGGCTGAGCTCGTCTCCGAATAAAATTATCAAGCAATGAAATTATTCACGATACAAACATACATCTTAGGCGAGAGATTTCAGGGTCAAGTTCAGAAGAAGCCGAGAAAAAGGCGATAACGCTTGCAGGCACAAAATCAAGCGGAACATCAAATATGTACGTACTAAATTGAACGAACAAGTGCAGAGTTGAGAAAATAAAATATTGTTTACTTTTAATTAAGCATATAACAACCCAGCTAAATTGCCATTGTAATTGCATTTTCGGTGTCGTTTAATTCACCGAAAAAAAAAACGGTGGAAAAAAACATTCTAAAACTTGAACCACTCTGAAAAAATGATCACGTAAGTCATTTAGCAGTTTGCAAATTAAAATTTGCTTAAACGAAACGAAACGATTCAGTGTTGTTATAGCACAGCTGAGCAAATGACAATTTTCCGCGAATTGATTTCAAGCGAATTTAAAATGACTGAGATCAGAAAGGAAGAAAAATGAATGGCAACGACAAAAAATGGAAAATCTTGAATTTTCATTTTATAAAAGAAAAGCGAAAGAATAGAAAGAAAAATGTCAAGACCTCGGCACAACTGCTAATTTTGAATGCACATCTGTTGCACGAGTCACCAAATACTGTGCAAACAAAAGTCAAGTCGTTCTAAATATTATATTTATATTTTTTCTTCTTCTTCTTCTTCTCGCAACTAAGTAAAGCATTATCAATTGTATGTGTGCGTGTATCATGTTCCATAAAAATGCAAACTTTTCCCATGCAACACAATGGCCCAGTTTGCCATTTCACATAAAATATACTTCGAACACGTGCTTGCATTAATGAATCAAACGTTCGTCTCGCGGTGCTTTTTTTTCTCTCTCTTTCTCCATATTTGAGCTTAGCAGCGCATGTATTGTGCAAGTGTGCTATCTCCCGCTCACTCTCTCTTTCTGTTTTTTTTCTCGCTTTTTCTCGAATTAATCGAATAGTACAAGCTGTTGACATCGTCGGTGCATAGAGTCAAATACACACACAATAATTCGAACGTAATCGATTCAAGGTGATGATCTCAAAAACACACATACACCGAGTCGAAACTGAAATAGATCAACGGAGTACAGAGAGAAATGAACGATAATCTGCTAATTTAAAATAAATAAATGATAAATCAACACCTACGAATCGGTTTTACGCCAAAACCATCGATCGCATAACGACACAGAATTTTTCTGTGTTCTCTCTCTCTCTCTCTCTCTCTCTCTCTCTCTCTCTCTTTCTCTGACGATGGTGACCCTGGAAAATTGCGAATCGTGTGACGAATGTTGAATTCGGTTGCTGATGTGTTTATTTTTCTCTCGGTCTCTTTCGATTTGTACTCTTCGATCATGTGTGTCGTGTCAATATACCTATCAAAGTAAGACGGGCACTCGCTATGCAAACTCTTATCATCATAAATTCCGATGCCCTTGATTCTCATTTTAATGTGGAACACTCTTCAATATCGTTTTATCCAACTTCGAACATTTCGCAACAGAAAAAAAAAACACACACACACATACATCAAGTGTTTCGATTAGGGTGTGACGAATGAAAATGGCTAATTTTGCCGGGAGAAATGCATTTTCTCCGCACAATTTTTTCAACGGAAATCCGACTACGTGGAATAGTGATTTGAACATTTTTGACTATGAATGGAGAAATAACAATTAAAATAATAATAATTTTCATTTAATTCCATTGATTTCACATTTTCACAGTATGTTTTTAGTTCGGGTGATGATGATTGTTTGGAGAATAAACAAATAGTAAATAACGATTTAAAACAATAAAATTAATATTTATACAGTTTTAGATCTGTCACTTGAGTCTAAATGGTCAATATTGATATTGTATTATTCTTTGATCAACTGATGATTCGTTGGATTCAAAGAAGACACATCTTTTTGAATTTTGTCGGCAATTTTACATAAGATAAACAAAGTCTTGAAATGAAAAAATGCAAAGTGGCTAAAAAGAAGATAACACAAAGTGAAGCAGACGCCTCTAGACACTGTTTCTAACTCGACAAATGTGAATTGAAAAGAAAACAATATGCAAAATCGATGTCAAAATAAATGCAAAGCCCAACTAAAATGGCCCTAATTTCGACGCACTCTAATACTGGTGTTGTTTTGAGTGGAAACTCGATACTCGATTCTCCGAATTGAGTTGAGCCGAATCGCATTCAAATAAATCGATTGAGGGCAGACTTTTGTCTTTTGTTTGGATTTTCGTTGTGCCGTCGTTGTTGTCGTTGTCGTATTTTTTCTGTTGAGTTCGTGTATGACACGACACGTCGGCACTTGCCGAGAACGAGAGCGAAAGACCCATGAATAAATGCATATTTGTAGCATTTTATCTTATTTATTTTAAGTACTGCATTTGTGTACATTTGGATTGGCATTTTAAAATGATGAATTGCAATAGGGCGTTTTTATTTTTTTTTCCCTTCCATTTACTGTATTGTTGCTCCAAGCAATTTTGCTTGGGGCACAGAGCAAAAAAAAACCGAAATCTCTGATCATCGTCGTCATCGTTGTCGCGCATATATAAATATTCGGTAAAGTGTGGACGTAATTTATATGGTTGCTGCAGAGCAGTGCTGAATCAGTTTTCGCTGCCAAGTGTTCAACGCCGAGTGTGTGTGATATAAAGAATTGAGTGCAAATCATGGCTATATCGGTTGTGTGTCCAGCATTTGGGATGATTTGTAGGATTTATTCATTGTGCCACTTGCTAATACTTAAATCTGATTTCCTTTCATTTGTACTCTTTTTCTTTCACTCTCTCGTTGTCTCACTCTTTTTCGTTTTCTCCAAAGTGATTGCAGTTATTTTGAGCGCCAGAGCGTCGACAGCAGCATCAGCAGCAGCAACATCAGTAGTAACAACAGCAAAATCCGATCAGGCAATTAGTGTGGCAAAGCACGTCGACTGTGAGCGTCAGTGTCCATACTATTATTTTCCGATTTGTGCAACAAATGGCAATCCCGATGAAAATCGAATGTTTGTGAATATATGCGAGATGCACGCTTGGAACTGTGACGTTGAAAAGAGTAAGCGAAAAAAAAAGGAAAAATATACGTGTGTTCTGCAAGTATTTTTCATTCGGCAACGAACCACGTTTCGTTCGGATGCTGGTTTCGGACGCATTGATTTGATGTGCATATGTGTTTGTGAGTGCGTTGATTATTTTTTCTTTTCTTTTTCCCGTCCATTTCTTCCGTATAGAATATCACCGGACGAGAAATAATCAGTGTAGGGATTATCATGAGTATGTTGACGATGAATGGCTTAACTCACACAAACCGACTAAAAGACCCAAGCCATTTGTTCAACATCGACCACAAACCGTGAATCGTCAGTAGCCCAAAAATTTTCACCTGGCAACGAAACATCCAACACAACCAATATCTACATATTATTTACCATAAGAAGAAGAAAAATAATAACAACAACAACAAAGAAACGTACACACAAATTGATATTATGCAAATATGGTGCAAAATTTAGTGTTTGGCATTTTGACATGAGAACTTGAGTCTCAAGTGCACACCGTGTAGTACGTCAGCAAATAAAATACACAAGAGGGTTTATCTTATCATCACTACCAGCACATACATACACACACATACATGCAGTAAGAGCAAGCCATGGCATACCATTTTGTGTGACATATGGCACTTGAGCTCATTCAAAATTCATAGAAATTCCAATTCCCAAAGGGTTCTCTCTCTCTCTCTCTCTCTCGATTTTAATTGCACCGAACCAACTTTAATCAAGCGAAAATTTGATTTCGACAGAAATCAATTCTATTTTCAGATCACACTACCACAAGCACCGCCAGCACAATATCAAATCTATTTTGTATCGAAACAATATTGTTCTCGTTCTTTTTTTCATTATTATTATTTAATGAAAGAAATGCAATGAATAAATGCAACAACTAATTATATGTCAATGAAATGTGCGTTTCGGTCTCTTTTGATATTGCATTTTACTCGCTCTCTCTAGCACCCATTCACTTTTATGTTTTGTTCTCGTTTATTTTTTTCTTCACTTTTTTTCCCCAATTTTAATGGCAGAATGAAATACTTTTTCTTATTGTTATTTTAAACCCCTGAACGAGATCGGTGCCTGGAAGGTGAACAATGTGAACAAGTCAATGTGCAGCAGGTCACATAATAAAACACCTTCGTTTATTACCATTTTTAACTTCGCCACAACTATCACCCACTGCATAGCAAACGAAACAAAAACCAATTCGATTGACCCCGCAACTGATTTTCAACTTAAATATTGGTACGAAACACACAAATTTAAACACACAGAAAAACGTCCACCGAAATGACTGTATCGAGACAAAAGAGCATGCTATTTTAGAATGGGTTGCTTGTTTGGTTGGGTTCTTTTTTTTGGTGTTCGGTTGTGATTGACCCGACCCGTTAAAAACTCGCTTCAAAACTGACATGATCACCGTTTCGCGTGTCACAATCACTTTGGCAGCAACCCCATTAAGGCAACCACCATAAAATCAAACCCTTTTTTTTAAATCAAAACCGAAACCAAAAAAAAAATGATTTAAGTACAACCTTCGGAAAGAGATTTCAGTTCAGTCGTTAATTGTCGCTCATGCAAGATGTCAAGTAAATCGTAATTGAAGAGAGTGAACAGGAAAAAAAACTGGAACGTATTGTGGTTCTCTGATTAGAAAAATCAGACCAGAGTTTAGACTGATCCGAAAACAGTGAGAAAAGAAAAACCATGAGATCATCGAGTGTTATACGAAATTTAATTGTGTTGTGCGCGTACACAATCTATCAATCAATGGAAGCATATCCGCTTTATTGTGAAATTGGCATTGCCGTTGCCATTGCAGTGCTTCAAATCATCGTTGACAATACTCATAAATTCGGTCGCATTTCTAATGAAACGACCAACATCGGCCCAGTTTCAAGGAGGTAAAAATCGATAGGAAAAAAAAACAGTCGAAGTTGATTATAGAAAAATCGCCCGTTTTCTCTCATTTCCAACCGCTAATTTATGGTTTCATTTTGATTTTGTGTTTTTCTTCTTTTTTTTCGCAATTTCATTTGCACATTTGCAGGCCATTTGAAGTTTGTTCGTGCAATAAGCTCCATTTTATTGCTGATAGTGATGGTGATGGTGCAAAAAATGAACATGGCTGGCTGAACAAGAGTCACGGATGTACTGTATTTGATGGAGTAATGCCACTTTGCAGCAATAATCGTATTGTGCTCATTTCCACGAAAATCAATAAAGCATTTCAATTGCTCACCATCATCCGCGACTTGGTCGACATATCCTGATCAATTGCTGCATAGCGAACGCTTAAATAAATGATGCGGATGGCTCTCCATAAACGAATGGCCAAACATTATTTTACCTCTCTCTCTCTCTCTCTCTCTCTCTCTCTCTCTCTCTCTGTGGAGTGCAGCGAAGTGGAGTGGTGACGTTTTTCAATTCAGCAGAATGCAGTCAAACCTGTGTGTGTTTTTTTCGTTTGCTCAATTTAAATTTCGCATTTTTTTTTTTTCATTTGGAATGCAATACAATAAATGAGACTTTACACTTTTTAGAATATTCGTTGTTGTTGTTGCTTTTTTTTACTGCAGTTTCATTTTAATACCATTCCAAATTCCATTTCGGGACCCTTTTTGCATTGCAATCGGAATAAATAAATAAATAAACGGAAATGAAATGCAAAACGGCATTTTCAAATAAGCTTTGGTGATAGTAGTGGTGTGGTGGTGGTGATTGCTTTGAACGAATAATCAGTGTTTCCATCTGTTTCAGTTGAAAGGAATTTCGATGGCATTTTGAGTTTTTGAACAATAAATAGTGTAAAGTTGTATTCCGCATGAATGATACACATATCCGGCTATTCCTAATGGGAAAATGTGGCTGAAACTCAACTGAACTACCAATATAACGGAACGGAATAGAGAGGAAATATACCACATTGGCATCGTCAATGTATATTCAATTGAAGTAACGCTATGTCAATATACTAAATTACTATATCGACTCGATTGTCATTGGAATCGAATTTTCTTGTTAATTTTTCAAAATGGTTCTAAGCCAAAAGTTGGAGCCCATAATAATGTCGACTGTTTTGTTTTTGTTGTGTCGTATATTTTATTATTTTATGTTACTTCCAAAGAAATTTTTCTCCCATAATTCTATAAAGAATGAACCCAAAATCCGGTCGCCGAGCGATAAAAGTCAAACACAATTCTGCTTACTCAATAAATGGAGAAGATCAAACGGCAATAAAAATGCGATGCAGTTTTCTGAATAATCAATTTTTATGACAAGATTAAAATTTAATTATCCATGCGGTGGATTTAGAGAGCAGAGGGTAATGATGATATTTCATTTGTGGTGTGCGCGGAAATGGAAATCAATTAAATTGAATTATGAAACTCGTTAAGAAGACAGTTATTTCGATTCATTTGACGCGGTAAAAGCTGACGAGTGAGTGCGACAATCATTTGATATGGGATGTGTGTACACTGTACATCAAATTGATGCTATCACAAATCCAATGAAGCGCTGAATCATTTTCCAACTTGAAACGGAATATAAGTTCGGTTAGATGTGGTTGCAACGATAATCAAATAAATATATTTAATAACCACTCTCCCCACATACACACACATACTTCGAGAATGGAATTATAAAAAACAATTTGAAGCATTAAATAAAACACTTCGTTCGGTGTGCTTTTTTTATGTTTCTTGCTTGAATTACTGCTAATAATAAAAGAAGAAGAATGAACGAGTGCAACGTTTATGGTGGAGATTTCGTTTCAACCATTGACCACTTGGCCCCCATTATGCGCGCATCCGCTCACAAGCTCTCGCCTGCACCGATATCTTGCGATGCACATCTTGATGTGCCAAAGTGGTGTTGTGGGAAAACAGAACTGCTGCACTATTTCATTTCGTGTTTTTTGTTTACAATCGTTCAATATCATGTAATGGTCGTTTTAGTAGCAGCTCGAAGCAGCACAATATCATAATTTAAAAAGGTTAAAGGAACTAAATGAAGGGGAGGTTGACGAGTGATGAGTAGTGAGAATGGGGGGGAGAGAGAGGAGAGGAAAAAACATGTGGCACATCGTCAATAATATATCAGCAAACATTCTCATCGCGTGTGCATTTCGTACCATTTTCATTTAATTTCTTTCGTCGTCGTCGTCGTCGTCTATTTCTTGTTGTTGTTGTTGGTCTTGTTTTGTTTTTATTTGTGAAAACAAATTGATGTTACATATCCATGCGAAATAAAATATGAAATGGCAAACGGAACACAAAAACGGTGAGCACCAAATACGGAACCATCATCCAAACACAACATTGTTGTAATCGAAATTGTTTGATTTCATCTATATATCGGTCGGTGTTTTTCTTGTTTCTTTCGCCCGTGTTCCGTCTGTGTGACGGATGTTACACACACACACCGACTTTTTGAACACATGCTCTGGTTGCACCACCCACTCAATACGATGATCATCTGTCGAGTGTTTGGAAGTTTGTTTCAAAGTGCGGAAAATACAATACCGTGATACCGCTGGTGCTTGGTGATGTTGCTACAGCAATGATACAAATCCGGGGCGATTGCAGTTCTAAAACTCTTGATAAACAACAGAAGGTGAAACTATAACGAGCTAAATATCGAGAAAAACATGCGTTTTCTTCGAGTGGCTGCAATACTGCACAGGATTACATTGAACCCTTCTGTTGTCTTTACATTTGTTCATGCCATTGTTTTCGGATTTTTCTTATTTGTTTTTATTTTTGTTTTCTCGTTTTATTTCTAGCTTGGCGTTTCTGCTGTTGTCGTTGGTTGTTTTGCGCGCACACACGTTTTGCATTGTGCCAACGCCAATTCCACTGCAATTGACGTTGTTGATTGCACGCGCGCATCTTCATAATATTTTCCAACGGAAGACGGAATAGAAAGAAGGTTAAAATAACTTGAAACGCTCGCAACGTTAACAATAAACATGTCAACAATAAGCAAACACGAATGCTCACTTCCACAGCTTGAGACAAACGAGAGCGAAAAAGAGAACACACACACACACACGCACGACACAGCACGAAGCATTAGGAACATTGAAAACAAAATGAATGAACGAGAAAATACATCAAATTGTAGAAAACATAATAACCCGGGTGTAAATTTTTGCTACTGAATTGCTACTAAAAAGCATTGATGAATCGGACAGTTTTGCTTCTTTTTTCTGAATTTTTTCTGAATCCGCCGAAGCACTTCTGAATGCTCCTGAATTGCTTC